CTTTATAACCAGACAAATTTCCATATGTCGGGAAATCATTGATGGTGCAAAACAATATGGCATGCGTATTGAACTATTCACCAGAATACGCATCAAAAACATCCACCCTTCCTCCCACAACACTTTTAAATCATCAATCAAAGGACTTAGATAAACATCTATGTCATTTCTGGGTTGTTTTGGGCCCGAAATCATTATCGATAACATAATATATTTACGCTTCATGCACAACCTAGGAGATAGGTTATGGATCATTAGGAGAACATTCCAACAAGTATGGTTATTACTTAGATTACCAAACGGATTCATTCCATCAGTTGAAAGTCCAAGTCTAAGGTTTCTCGACTCTTTGCCAAAATTTGGAAACAAAACATCTATTTTCTTCCATTGTAAAGAATCAGCTACATGGCAAATTTTTCCCTCACACTTTCTTTCTTCTGCATGCCATCTAAGATTCTTTGCGTCATTTGCATTAGAGAATAGTCTCTTGAACCTTGAAATTATTGGTAGGTACCATACCACTTTCCCGGGAGGAACTTTTTTTACCGCCTCATCATCACTAGAATCACCAGCTTTCTTTTTGTAGCGCGACGCCTTGCACTTCGGACAATGATTATAGTTTACATACTCTTTTCTGTATAATATGCAATCATTAGGGCATGCATGTATCTTTTCATACTCCAAACCCATCGGACGCAATATCTTTTTCACCTCGTAATAACGATTTAGCATTACGTTACCTTCTGGAAGCATTTGTGTTAACAATTCAAGCAATTCAGTAAAACTTTTGTCAGTCCACCCATTATTTGCCTTCAAATTAAACAATTTTAACACGGCTGACAAACGTGTAAAATTTGTGCATCTCGGGTACAAAGGTTTATCCTTGTCACTGCATAAAGTATCATACACATGCGCCTTCTTAAACGAATCTTGTCCAATATCACGCATCATGTCTTCCAGACGATCATCCATTTCTGCAATAACATTATCTCTTTAGGACACATTTGACTTTGTTACTACCTCACCGTGCCATATCCATTGTGTATAACTTTGACAAATCCCATGACAAATTAGATGATCCATGATTTCTTTCTTATTGAGTTTTGGTTCGTGATTTGCACAACGAACACATGGACAGAGAAAAAGCAGATGAAGACTTTTTTCAGCATCACTCTTAGAAGGAGCAAGATTTTTTTTAGCATTACTTTCAGCAAGCTTTAAAAATTCCATCACTCCTTGTTCGTACTCGAAACTTAATCGATTGGCTCTCATCCAACTACGATTCATACCTATGTTCCGGAATTATTAATGCATACAGAGTTAAATCATTGGGAGCCTATAATAGTCCCTCTTTTGGACATTAGAGAGAACAAAAGTCTCTACGTGTAAACACGTGGCATAAAAGAAGAATTGAGAAGTTATAAAGAATGAAAAGAGAACATGCAATTACGTGGTGGCCGTATGACTCGCGGTTAAGAGAAAAAGAGGGACACAAATCCTGCGAGAAACGAAATATCAATTTTTATTCCATGAGACACCACTCATTACTCGTAACTTTTACATAAATTACTATTGGTAAATAAGACTTCAAATTTGAGCTTACAAATTAATAAAAAAATAGCAACATTGATTAATCCAATTAATTTGTGTCCACTAATTTGATTCTCTCATGCAATTCTCTATAAGAATAGTAGGAAATAGCAACAACAGTATACTAATTTGGAGAACAAGCAATATCATCATCTTACAAATTAATCACAAAATTTCATCCAGAACCACCAAAGAAAATCAAGAGTTCAGTCATAAAACACCATTGATTAATCCAGAAACATACATGTGACACATGATTCCAAAAGAAACATACACAAAAAATAAAATAAAGTCATAGGTGTACTATCTTTGAAGATGATGATGATGATTATACCAAAATCCGCATACATACACCACATGCAAAAGAAAGAAAAAAATTTTAAACTTGAACTAACAGAGCAACCTCCATTGAAACCAAAAGAAATGTAGAACAAAAAAATGTAAAATGAGTTCATTTGAGACCATTTCCTGATGTAGAAATTGCAAGTCAAAATGTAAAGTCAAAATGCACAGCAGGGGGACTAAAGTCTGTACCTTATGTTGATAACCCTCCCTATTTCCAAAACATGCACGTGAAAAAAGGAAGAATGAGATACTGTAGGAGGGATGAACGGCGACGGCGCGAGCACAGTAGGAGGGATGAACGACGACGGCGCTGTAGGGAGGAAGGCGAACGGACGGCGCTGTAGGGAGGAAGGTGAACGGACGTCGCGGGCGGGAGGGAGAAATGAAGGTTCGTCGTGGGAGGGTGAGAGAAAATGAACGTAGGAAATGTGCAGGTTTTGGTTAAACAATATTAGAGGGTTTTAAATTAGTTTTTAAATCGGTGGAATTTCCAACCGATTTAAAATCCATGGGCCAATGAACATTTTACATCGGTGGGAACAAAACCGATTTAAAAATCATATTGTAGTTTACATTTTAAATCGGTTGGATACTTAAAACTGATGTAAAATCCATGTTTTTTGTTTTTACTTTTCGGGGGCTTTTTAAATCGGTTGGTAATGTACCCGATCTAAAAACCCTTTAAATATTTTTTTCAATTTTTTTAATATTGTTTTTTACATCGGTTGCAAATACAACCGATTTAAAAACCCTTTAAATAATTTTTTTCAATTTGTTGGGGGCTTTTTAAATCGGTTGGTAACGTACCCGATCTAAAAACCCTTTAAATAGATTTTTTTCAATTTTTTTAATATTGTTTTTTACATCGGTTGCAAATACAACCGATTTAAAAACCCTTTAAATAATTTTTTTTCCAATTTTTTTCAATTTGTTGGGGGCTTTTTAAATCGGTTGGTACCGTACCCGATCTAAAAACCCTTTAAATAATATTTTTCAATTTTTTTAGTATTGTTTTTTAAATCGGTTGGAACTATAACCGATTTAAAAACCCTTTAAATAATTTTTTTCAATTTTTTTTAACATTGTTTATTAAATCGGTTGGAAAGATACCCGATATAAAAACCCTTTTAATATTTTTTTTTCAATTTTTTACATCAGTGGATTAAATGGCCCGATGTAAAAGATCTAATAATTTTTTTTTATTATTTATGATACTGCCACCGTGTTTATAGTTTCACATTTTACATCGCTTCGAGTGGATGCCCGATGTAAAAACATTTTCCCAAAAGTCTTTTTTCTAGTAGTGTTATGTGTCACAAATCATGTTTATTTTTTTAGTGAGTTTCCCCTTGAGATTTCTAAAATCATCTCAAGCTTTTACATATAATCAACTTAAAGAACCGTCAACAACAACTTGAGCTTTTGCATAATATCATCCCAAAACCTTTTACAAATAACCACAACTTTAACACATGTTCAACTCAATAATCTTTATTCAAGATTTTTTTAGGTTTAGCTTGCAACCTTAAAATTTATTACAAATAGATCACACAAGAGAAATTTGTTGGATAAGTGCCTCCAAACATAAGATGGGGGTTGAATTGTGTAAGATGAAAAACAATGGCCACTTATAAAAATCTTAATTAATATGAATGTTAAAAAAAATATATATAAATAAACCAGAGAATAGGCAGCGAAATAAAAAAGATAGAGAGAATAGATGGAAATACCACAGAAAGAAATAAAAAACTGAAATGTAAAGAGATAAGGGAAAACAAATATACACTAGCGAATTTATACAGGTTCGGCCTAACTACATGACCTACTCATGTCTCCAAAAATTTCTTCTTGAGAGTTTCCATTATATCAGAGGTGAGTTTTTCACAAGTTGTTCACATGATACTTATTACCACTAAACATGAGAAATTACACTGATTGATCCCCAAATCAAATGAGATATTTTACATTAGGTTAATCTAAGAACCAAACAAAAATTTTACACTAGGCAAAACTCAAGAAGCTTATAGATTTTTTGATGGGTAAACTCAATAATCAAATGAGACCTTTTGACAGGCTTAGCTCATGAACCAAACAGAGATTTTACTTGACTAATCTCCATAACAAACAGAGCTTTAAACTAGAGTAAATAAAGAACTAAATAACTTCTTATTCTGAAGATATTACATAAGAGACAAGCCCTCTTGAGTAAATTACAAACAATTTCAGTAGTACCAGAACAAACAAAATGTTTTATTGATATTTTTCCCTATCAAAACACTAAACCAATTTCTTGAAAAAAATAGGAAAAGAAAAAGGAGAGAGTAGAAAGTGAGAAAGTATTAAGAAATTAGTTTTGTGGTGTGTTTAAGAATAAGGAGAGACCCTCTATTTATAAGAGAAAATTTTGGCTCAAAATGAAAAAAGATTCATGGGCCTTCAAATTATTTAATCGATTAAGCCATATGGTTAATTGATTAACAGGTTAAAAAATACGACAACCCTAATTCCAAAAAAGAAATCCTACAATGGTTATTTGTTTTAATCGATTAGGAGTCCTCTTTATCAAATAATAAGTTTTTTTCTTACTCTAATTGATTGTTTAAGGTCCCTAATCGATTATATAGTGTATAAAAGCTTCTTAAATGATTATAAATATTCTTAGTCAATCTTACATGCGTTTTAAGATATTTTAGTAAGAGAGAGGTTCATTTTAGTAAGAGAGAGGTTCGAAACAATTTTTATGTATGTGTTGCCTTAGTAATTCGAGATTTGTTGTTATGTCTTTTGCATTACACTGGTCACTTAGACATGTATTATGTAGACATAAGTTAAGCGATCAAAATAAAATTTAAAAACCAAAATCAATTAAAAGGATAAAAAATGTAATTTGACTTTCTTTTTCTTAATCAAACCAAATTATTATATTTAATAATAAACATTTTCAAATTTAAATCAATTATACGTAGAAAACCATGTTATATTTAATAAAAAGTATAATTTATTTCGTTACTTTCATAAATAACACATTACATTCATAATAACATCATGAATATATTGATTTAAATTCAATCACCACCGGCCCCTCCACTAGCACCACCTCCAAAACCACCGCCTGAACCCCCACCCTGATCGCCTCCAAAGCCACCATCTGCACCTCCTCCAGATCCACCTCCAAAGCCACCACCTGCACCTCCTCCAGATCCACCTCCAAAGCCTCCGCCAACACCTCCACCCGTGCCACCACCCCCGCCAATTCCTCCCCCTGCACCACCCCCATGTCCACCTCCAAAGCCACCGCCCCCGCCAATTCCTCCCCCTGCACCACCCCCATGTCCACCTCCAAAGCCACCGCCAACACCTCCTCCAGAACCACCTCCAATACCTCCTCCAGCACCTCCTCCTCCACCTATTCCGCTACCACCACCACTTCCTCCTCCTAAGCCACCACCACTACCACCTCCAAAGCCTCCACCTGCACCACCACCTCCACCTAATCCACCGCCATGTCCACCACCAATTCCTCCTCCTGCACCACCTCCGAAGCCTCCACCCGTACCGCCACCTCCACCTAATCCACCACCATGTCCACCACCTATTCCTCCTCCTGCACCACCACCACTACCACCTCCAAAACCTCCACCTACACCACCACCTCCGCCTAACCCACCACCATGACCACCTCCAATTCCTCCTCCACCACCACTACCACCTCCAAAGCCACCACCTCCTCCAACACCTCCACCGTGGCCAAATCCTCCTCCAACACCTCCACCACTACCACCTCCAAAACCTCCACCTGCACCACCACCTAAGCCACCTCCTCCAAAAGTGTCAACATATTCTTCTTTTTTTAGTGTGCGGCATTCAAATGTTCCTATCACCAACGCAAATATAAAAGCAAGTACTGCAACATACTTGTATAAATTTCCCATCTTAATAAAACAGAAAATTGTAATAGAGCCGTAAAAACTTGCTTTGCTCTTGTAATGAGAAAGCTAGGCAACTGGAGTTCTATTTATAGGAACACATACCATTAATACACAAAGACTTAGGGACATCTCTCATGTACTGTAGTTCTTCGGACTAACTAACATGGCCTAGATTTCAAACTTGTTTGAAAACAATCTAATGGCTGGTATATTCATAATTGCCATGTCCCCAACCATCAACAACCTTAGTCATTTTCATAAACAATATATCCTCGCGTATCTCCATTAGTGTGCACCATTAAGTATGTACCGGAAGGAATAGAGAAATAAAATGCAAAGAGATTTATAATTAACAAGCCATCTAAACTGAAAAACAGAAATAAATAAATAGAAGAGGCTGAAAAGTGATATGAAAAAAAAAAAGTTTTGTGAACATGTCATAGTTTTGCAAAGTGCAAGTAAATAACTGACTCATAAAAACACTTCCTGAACCTTTTTAAAATAAAAAAATATCAAATAATTTATTTATTTATATCAGACATTTTTTAACTTATATAAAAGTAAACTTTTTATTTTCACATTAATAAAATAGTTTCCAAAACAAGGCCATTATAATGTATGTTGACTACATCAAACGATGTATATAGAAGTATTAATTACCCTTTATTATTTTTTTATTTTCAGTTTCTAAGTAAACTCTGTACCTATTAAAAAAGATAGTGCATTAATGATTCAACGAAGAAAACTCACGTCTTCGTATAGCTATTGTCATGTATAACTGGCAAGCTTGTCCCCACCATGTGTATAAGTACAATTGTTAGCCCAAAAATGTGATCGGGTAGAATATCAGCCATCATATCGGTGTCAAAATTAATAAGCTCACAACCTATAGTCTAACAAAAAATCCATATACATTCCATATTAGAAGAGAAATAGATGAAATGTTAAGATAGCCACACTAGTCAAGTATTATGTAATGTGGTTATGGTATTATAGTAAACAAAAATGCTATTCTTACACCCATTTTTACACCCAATACTTACACCGTATGCACTGTTCACCGTATTTATACGGTGAACAGTGTTTTTTTATTAAAATAATATATATTTTTTAAAATATTAATTTTTTAAAAAAAAATATTTATTTTTAAAATTTATTTTATAACACAAATATAAGATTGCGCATTAACCAACTTCACAGTTGCATTAACCACAAAAATCTACATCATTAACCAATTATTTTACCTATAATTTATTAACCACTTTCACTAATTCATTAACCAATAAAATACACACTATTAACCAGGTTCTGAAGAATTTGTTCAAGTATTTGTGAACAGTAAATTGGGTGTAGGGTGTAAAAAATGGTGTCAACATAGCAATCCTGTTATAGTAAATTGTGGGGATAATTGCAAAACGTTAGCTATTTAACGTCTGAGTCGGTGTTTGAATGAGATGTAATTTTGCAAGTGTGTAAAAAGAATTCATGGTGTGATTGAGAGTCACATATATAGAGAAGGCAATGATAATCGTCTCGTTTGTCTGACATATTGTGCATATGACCATTGAATCTGGATCAACGATCATGATTAAGAGAAATGTTGTGCTCCTATAAGATGCACGAGAATGAAGTTTCACATATACGATAGTAAATGAAGCGCTCTTACTACATTGAGTCCATGATTGAGATGGTTTTAATGGGCGCATATGTTCACCCTAAAAATCTTTTCTCGAGTCCTTTCTATCATCTCTGAAGAGATGAGTGTTTTGATTTAGAAATCGATGAGATTGGTGTAGAATAAATATCATACAGGGAGATTGTCTGTTGAGAATATACCTCGGGAAAAGAGATCTCGATAGTAGCGCTAAGTAAGGGTAGTTTCCATGGAGAACATATGCAATAATTGATGCATCTTGTATAGACGAAACGTTGTACCGGTGAAGGGCTCCACATTGTCACAACTGCGAAAAACAACCGGCGGAAAAATAGAAGAGTCGCCACCGAACGTTATTTATTCCGACGGGGGGAAGGAAACGATCGAAAAAACCTCAAAAGAGAGAAGACATGTTCTCACAAACAAATCTTGGGTTCGAGAGTCAATTACTAGATGATATCCATATTCTAAAGATTTAGGAATTAGCTAAGTGATATCTTAAATATCTAAATCAGTAGACATAATATTTTTAACTTTCACTGCATCTCTCATCACTATACTACAAATAACATATGTAATGTTGGACGCGAAATGAATTTCATCTCGATTACAATGCCGAGGTAACGAATGATGACATGAAAAGTGAGAAATGTATCCCTCGATTTTTATGAAGTCGAGGTTAAAATACAAAAGGTCAATGGTTTGATCCCTAAAACAACTTATTTTTATTTTCAAAACTAACTAACGCGCGCAACATACCTCTCGTTTTTATTCAATAACCGATATAATAAGCTATGTTTGTACGTCGATTTTTTATTTTAATTGGGCGTAATCAATTTTATTACTATATAAATTTATTTTGATTCTCGTTTTACTGACAGACCTATCATTTTGTACATATTTGTAGAAACTATAAAATTCTTACAAGATATCAAACTAACATAGAATACCAAATTTATTTTGATTCTCATTTTACTGGAAGGTCTGTATCATTTTGTACACATGCAAAAACTATAAAATTGTTACAAAATATCAAATCAGAAACAAATAAAACAAAATTGATATTCATTTTTTAAATTACAAATTTACATTGTGGCAAAATCAAATGTACAAATTTACATTGTTGTCATCAACACATAAACCAAAAGTTAGAGTTTTGCACATGAAAATGTCAAAACCTATATATGTACAAATTCAACTTATAACAAAAGATAAATTATTGTTGTTGAAATTCATTCCAAGATAAGAAGACACCATCCCAAATTGATCAGATATCATTTATATCTTCTTTAAAGAATGATGTTTTGTCACTAAACTTTTATGGTTAGAACAAAGTTTAAATTATGGTAATCTAACAACAACAGTATTAACTTAAGAAATATACATAAATTACATGTATATTGATTAAAATAATACCTTATGCTTAGCTCATCCATTTGTAATGCCTCGGGTGACAATATCATGCATATGTTTCATAACATAGTATCCACAAACAAAATTAAAGTGACTTAGGACATGTCAGACGCTATCATCAAGGGTGGTCCTTCTAAGGAGTAAATCTATCCAAAGGGCTCTCTCATCTCTGAGAATGCACTTGGAGTAGATATTAATCACCACACACTTAGTCTTAGAGAACCCTCACTCTAGACAAATCCCAAGGTAACTAGGACCCACAAAGGAGAACACGCAATTCCCTTCCGAGCGACACCAAATAGAAAGAAGGGCACCACTATTACCAATAGACTGGGAAAAGCTCCAATCACAAAAAGGATCCCTCAAAGGGAATGGACCAAAGAGGTAGAGACCTCAAAAAGCTTAGTCTCCTGGAATGCAAGGAGCTCTAGAGACTTAGAGATAATAAGATCTCTAACCTTACCCTTTTTTTATCTTACTTCTCAAACCACTGACGTTGAAAGATCCAATAAACATCAAGCACAACTCTTAGATAGCCTAGTAGGCCTCAACTGTTTGTCTCTAGATTCAAGACCCAATAACATTTTAATCTCATCCTCATCACTCAGGAGAAAGGTACAACCTAGTTTCTTTGCTTCCTTGAAAACCCTTGCCGCTTTATGAACCCATAAGAAGAGTTTTGGATATTCTACAAAATGTACTACTTCTGCTTCTATGGAGGAGTTCTGGATTCTAAAGGCTTCCAAAGTTCTTATCCACCTTCTCAATGCCTCTCGAGTTATTAAACTTATTGGGACTCCTCCCGTACATTTATGGACCAAGTGCAACTGTGATGGAACCGTTTCAAGTGCCTTGGGGGCTACTGCTTGTGTTGGTTTATTTAGAAAACATAATTATGAGTTTCTTGAACGTTATGCTTGTTAGATCTTGTGTTGGAGGTTTGATGTAAAACATGAACAAGAAGAAGATGATGAAGACGGTACGATAAAAGTTGCACAAAATAATTCTGAAATGTGTATTTGCACTAAGCTTTAGGTTCAATTCGCTCCCACCAATTTATGCAAATTGGATGCAAAAGGGTTAACTGGCGAATCCCCTTCAGGATTTTTTGTAAACCTTAACATGAATCGCACATCCACATTAAACATATCGATTAATGATATTTTACTGAATAAAGTTTCCTCATTTATTCTCGTGCACAAGAAAATTAAAAGAATGACTTAGATATAATTTTTGGAACTTGAAACAAGTGGTTTTTGTGTCTTTTTTTATGCTTAACAAGTATCTCTATTTGTAGGAAAAACTTGTACCAATTGGTGAGGAGAAACAATGTTTCAATGGTTTAAACATGACCATTCGCGAACCATTATATATCAATAATAACAAACTATTTCATGAAAAGTTGTGTTAATCTGGTGGTTGCACCTTATGACCACATGTCTTATCATAACAAGGTCTTTGGTTCAATTCTTCTAGTGAGTTGCAACTTTTGGCCATTTATTTTGGTAATTTCACCATTATTATTTATCAATTTAATTTTTTGGAAATTTCTCAAACAATCCCCCACCATTTTTAAAATATATCTAAATCCATTATTCAGGAAATTTGATGCTTTCAGATAAATGTATCTTACAATTTGAAACAATACTTAGTAAGTTAAGTTTTTACTCATTTCCGAATAGATTGGTAGACAAGCTTTGAACCAATTATTCATTAGAACAAGCGTGCATGACTCACACATGAAATATCGGTATCATTGATCGAATTATTAATATGACACATTTAATAAGGTATTGTGTCTCATATCCTTTTCATAAGAATTTAAGAGTCAAGCCCTTGAACTCTATGAAGGGGCACCACTTCATTCTCATATAAGTAGACTATATCAAAAATACACCCATAATTATGCATTCCAGCAAACATATACTATATGTCT